CTGACCCTCTTCCCTCTCGTGCTCTCTCTCTATCTCATTCTCTCTCTCAAATAAACAAATAAAATCTTAAAAAAAAAATAAAAATAAAAATCATAGCCATAACTCAGGAAACAAACTGGTGAGCTTCAGCGCACTTCGGGGCCCAACTACTCCATCCTGGAAAATCCTGAGGGGGGATAAATTGAAAGCACAGGCCCTGGCTGGGTTAGCCAACAATGTTGCCGAACAAACTCAGATAAAGTTGTCACAAGAGAAGCCAGTAACTCAAGAGATGAGAGTCTGGGAAAGAGGAAGAGAGAAATTTATTTGGGTGTGGGCAGCCTGGGGATGTGGCTTAAGTCTTGACAACTGACCTCTCCACCAGCAAAATGGACATCAGAGTTTGATAGAGAGAGGTTCAGGGCGGTGAGTGCAAGAAAGCAGGCAGAGAGCATGTGGTCACAGGTGTGGGCTGGTGCGTGTTCAGCCCATGATCATGGGCAAGGAAGGGGGTATGAGGGGATATGTGGGGCGTGGTCTTCTAGGCATTCCATTGCTATCAGGGCTTTTCTGGTTGGATGGGTGAGATGTTCTTGGTCATTGTAAAATGCCTTCATCAATGCCTCAAGAAAGTGTGATAAGAAATAAGCACAACAGGTTTTAGTTAGAGCATGAGTTAAGCTGTCTGGTCTGCTTCTGGTTTTAACTGTCTGGGTCTATCTATAGTTGAGCAATAGGGCTCACAGACAGGTTCAGAAGCAGTTTCAGGAGGGACTCAGAAACATCAGTTTATTTAACTCTTTTGGGATCAAGCCTACAGGAACCTACCTCCAGAAACCCCAGAACTGGCTTGGGCTACATCTGCCATGATTACTTTGGATTGTTACCCTAAATCTAAGGCAACCCCATGGGTCTAGTTTGCACATGCTGACTGCGTCCTGGTTTGGGACTGATCTCTAAAGGGGAAGGGTAGGTCAGAAACTACTGGTTTCCTCATATTTCCTTAGCATAATTGCTTGGACTATCTTCCTCTTTTCCATTTATTTTCTAGAGTTTATCTTAACGAACAGGGTTAATAGGATTGTCGAATGGGGGAGAGAGTAGGTTATGGAAAATCTATGTATGAGGGAGGGTTGGGGGGGGAGGATGAAGAGGACTCATTTGGACTCCCACCCTTACTTTACCTAAAGCAGTCCAGAAAATCCAGATGACTCAGCTCTAGTATTATTTGTGCATGCATTTGAGGATATCATTCCCTCTCCCTACATAAATCATTTACATTGGAGAGGTCTCAGGTTCCAGCTGTACTTTAACCAGGTTTTTTAGTTAATCTACACTCTATTCACTCACCCTTCTGCTTCCCATTCCTTTTTTTTTTTTTAAGATTTTATTTATTTATTAGAGAGCGAGCAAGAGAGAAACAGCATGAGAGGGGAGAAGGTCAGAGGGAGAAGCAGGCTCCCTGCTGAGCCGGGAGCCTGATGTGGGACTCGATCCCAGGACCCCGGGATCATGACCTGAGCCGAAGGCAGTCGCTTAACCAACTGAGCCACCCAGGCGCCCTCTGCTTCCCATTCCTTACCCTTCAGCTGCATCCTGCCCTGAACTGAGAGCTGTTATATTTCTATGGGTCTGGGTACACATCTAAACATCATACATAGTTATTTTGACCTGTCAAAAGGTAGTTTCTGTGACATTAGAATGATGATTCCTACTAATTCTTCCCTTTAACTTTCGTAGAACTTTATACTTACTATGTAATAATGACCCAGTTTATTTTATACTCTAGTTGTTTATACATATATTTTATTGTATTCTCTTACTAGATTGTTGAATTTCTTTAAGGCAGGGACACATGACTTATTCATCTTTGTAGGATGGAATAGCCCTTCTCACTCTCTAACCCCCTCCTCAATAATATGATATTTATCTATAAAGAAGGAGTTGGGTAGATATGTGATCTATCCAACCTTCCTTAGCCTGTTTCATATAAGTTGACTGGTATCTAAAAATCTTTTCTAGTTTAAAATAAACAAACAATGCCTTAGGGTGACAATTATACATTCCAGAGTATTATTTAAGCACGTGCTAGCTTAATCACACTGCATAACTTGAAAAACAAAGTTTAGTCTCAAAAAAAGCCAAAAATCAAAGGAAGAACAATAGAGTACAGGCATATCAGAAAATACATTGAAAAAATTCATAAGGCGTTATTTTAACTGATTTGTGATCTAAAAACTAGCATTAATTTTTTTAGAGTTCATGCTAAGAGCAAAAATGTATTTGATGACTTGTCATCCTCATTTGGCTGATGAAAAAACTAAAGACTATAATGACAGGGGCGCCTGGGTGGCTCAGTTGGTTAAGCGACTGCCTTCGGCTCAGGTCATGATCCTGGAGTCCCCGGATCGAGTCCCACATCGGGCTCCCTGCTCAGCGGGGAGTCTGCTTCTCCCTCTGACCCTCCCTCCTCTCATGCTCTCTCTCTATCTCATTCTCTCTCTCAAATAAATAAATAAATAAAATCTTTAAAAAAAAATAAAGACTATAATGACATAAACATAAAAAGGATTTTTAAAAATCATTTGAGTACTTACTATGTGCCATGAACTGTTTTAAGTCTTTTACATGAAATGACTCATTTAATTTTCATAGTATACCAATGACAGAGGCCCAGGCAGAGTCTAAATTTCTAGGTATTGTATATCAGAATTAAATAATAAAATACAAAATAAAACTAAATTGCTTAAGTTGTGTTAAAGTTACACAGTAGTGATCTCTAAGCACAAATGATTATAAAACATATAAGCTGTTTGTCTTTAGTAATACACTCTTAAAGTATTTTCTTAGCTCAAGAAAGTTCTTAAACACTATTTCACTGGATTAATGCAAATAGCTGGATTAAAACAAATTATATAATTTTAAGTGTTTGAAACTTTAAATAAATATATATATCAATTTCAACATATCTTTTTAAATCTTATTTTTATTACCTCTCAACACCCTGAAAAACGTTACTACATAACAGTAGCAAAAATTTTAACAGCAAAAGCAGGAAAAAAAGAGCTTAGTTCAGTAGCTAAAATTCTTACTGTGTTATTAATTTGGGAATAAAATCCAGAATCTCTATTTTTTTCTTGCCAAATAACCATATTATCTTTCTTCTAAATAGGCACAGTCTCAAGGAACAAATTATTCTCTGCAATTTATACATCTACCCTAAGTGGGGAGTTCAAAGCATATAAATGTTTCTCATAGATTAGCTTTTATTGTAAACACCGGAGTAATTTTCAAAGCTGCTTTTCTTCTTTTTCTGCCAAATGTTTCTGTTTAATTATATTATTAAAGTGAATTCTGGGAAGCCCCTTGGCTTTAAACCTGTATTTAACTGAAATATTGATAAAAATAAATTTAACTTAAGCATCATATTTTATAAGATAACCTTGAAAGGGATTTACCAACTGAGGTACAACTATTAATAGTTTAAAGAAATTATATTATCTAGGTTGCTTGTAATGGAAGTTGGGTTATTTGCTTCACCTAAACAGGGAAGTTGGCATGTTTGCCTAGCAACAGCCGCTAAAACCTTCTGTTGTGGAAAGTTCCCTAGGAGGGAGAAGAAGGGAGGAGGAGGAAAAACAGGAGGAACAGATTAATGTTTTTCCTAGCAGGGGAATGAGGTCCGGCTCATTGAGGAGGGAAAGGCTATCCAAGAGATAGATATCCTTTAGATTAGCATACACTAACCTAATCCCTCTGTGATAGCTAGAAGTTAGTTCTTTGTAGGATTGGGTTTACTACTGAGGAGGTTGAAGGGAAGGTTACAGATTTCGCCCACTTCAAAGGGAGTAAAATTCCAATCAATGGAAAGACATCAATAGGTCTTCCAAAAAGAAGCTGCGATCTGAGTAGCAGGAGGGTGTCCGCAACTAAAAAGACCGCCGCTTAGAGTTTAGGAAGGTGTGTGATCTGTTTTACAAATATTATAAAACACTGTTATAATGACTGAATTTATTGAGTTAAAGGCAGGAGCTTCTCCAAATATAGTACTGTTCTTGGTATTGGTGATGTCTGCAGTGAAGAAAGGACAGGAGAGCGAAATCTCTGCTCTCTTGGCCAAGACCTGAAGCAAAAAAGGGAATAATGCAGAGGAGTATTAACTGGGTGTTTATGGGAGGACCATCTCTATTCTAGACGATTTATCTTGAAATTTGAACTGTATGATACGAGGAGAATTCCGTTTCTTTTCCTTAAAGCACGGGTTTGGTGAAGCGCGACTGTCTAGAAGGGGTCTCCCACTACCCCAAATCAAAATGGCTTCTTTTCCGTAAGGGAGAAGAAACTTTCAGTCATTGCAAGGTTAGCTTTTAGACCCAGGAACTCTTCCGTGGGCCGAATCTTTCCGTCCCCCCTAGACAGCTATCATCGTTCACTTAGGCCTGGAGAGACGTTTTGGAGCAGTGAGTGTCCAGGCCCTTGGGCGGTTTCGCCGCGTCGGGAAGCTGAACTCTTTTTGGGAGTCGGTGAGAGTGGTGTCTAGGGCAAAGCTGGTGTGATCCAAAACGCGAATAACACAAGATAAGAACAAATTCTTTTGGGTCGGGGGGGGTGGGGGGATGTGAAAAGGAACCGGAGTAGAGGGACGAGAGCTGAGAAAGCCTAGGGGTAGAGGGAGTGCGGGGTTCGATGGAAACGTCAGAAATTTCCCAATGCCCATCGCCGTCTGGCCGCTCGCCGCTGGGCGCAAAGGCGCTGGTGGGGGAGGGCCGGCGGACTGCTGGACCAGTTCTGCAGCTGCGGGCGTGGGTGCGCCCCGGGGGTTGGCGGAGAGCGTCGCGGGCCTCCCTCCCCGGGCGTTGGCTGCGGGTGACTCAGAGCTTTCCTCCCGCGGCCGCCCCGCCCCGCCCCTCCGCGCGCCCCGCCCCCCGAAGGAGGGGCCTCGCCCTCGTCCCCGCCCCAGTCTCCGGGGCGGGCCGGAGCCCGAGGAAGAGGAAGGGGACGAAGACAACGAGCGACGGAGCGGAGGAGGAGGAGGAGGAAGAGGAGGCCGACCAACAAGATGGCCCCTGCTGCAGGAGCAGCCTCAGCAGCAGCAGGTGGGAGGCCGGAGGCGGCGCTGGCGGTGGCGGCGGCGGCCGTGGCCCGGCGTCCTGGGACAGAGTCAGAGTCGACGGTGGCGGCGGCGGCTGTGACGGCTGCCGCAGCAGTGGCGACGGCCGCGGGGACTCGGAGCTGAGAGGAGCTGCTGCTCGGACCAGCGCGGTGAGCGAGCGGCAGGCGGCGGCGGCGGCGGCGGTGGCGGCGGCGGCATCGGGAGTGCGGTGGCCGCCGCCCGGCCTCCGTCGGGAACAATAGGCAGCCGCGGCGGGGAAGGGGCCGTCCTTGCCCGCCCTCCGCCCCTCGGCTGTAGCGGCCGGCCCCCCACCCCACCCCCCGGCCTCAGCCCCGCCGGCGGCGGAGGGGCTTGTCAGCGCCCGGCGTCCTTAGGCCTCAGGCCTCCGAGCGCGGCCGGGAGGGCCTGGCGGGGTGGGTAGGCCGTGGAGAGGTGCGGGCGCCGCCCCGGACAAGGGGAAGGGAGGGGGTCAAAAGGCCGCCCAGCTCGGCGGTTACCCCGAGAGCCTCGGCGGGTGGAGAGTGCGCGCAGGAAATGCTTTTGGACCCCCGGTCTGTGGGGGTGGGGAGGTGAAGGCGCCTGTAAACTGGCCCCGCCTCCGCGTCCCTGAGTCGGGGCAGCTCCTGCACCTCAGGGCTGCTCCCTTCCCTGACCGCGTAAGCGCTCCCCTTCCTCGGCCCAGTGGGTTCCACGGAGTCTTATTTCCCTGAAGCTCTTGGAGATCGAGCCAGATGGTCTTCTTTCTTCCTGATGGCGATAGGGAAATTGTGTATGCGGGTGTCGTTTAAAAAAAAAATTAAGTGCAACAGCAAAAAACATGCCAGGTAAAACGCGATTATCGATAAGGGATGGGGAGGGATGGAGGGCTAAGGGGTGTTCTTAAAACATCGCTTGGCATCAGTTCTCTCTAAACATCAGTTATGCCCACATCCCGGGTGAGAGTGAAACAAGGGCTCTTTTGGAGCAGTAATATAACTCTTGACATCCCAGAATAGTCCATGAAACTGGAAACAAAGCCACTAACTGGCAACCCGAAGACAAATTGTAATGTTTGAATAGAACTTTTCTTCAAACGAACCGTTTTTGAATTATTAATGTGCCGCATAAGAAACATTAGCCCAGAATGGACCTAACGAAGCATTTCTTCAGGAGAGAAGTGGTTCATCTCCAGGCTAGAACTTCTTGTGTCCTGTCTCATGTTCTAATTTTTGCCTCTCAGTAATTTGTTCTAAGACTAACCTTTCCTTTGAGTTTGATATTTGATTTCTAAAGCAGATTTTAAATAAGATTTCAAAACTTTTTTTATGACTTTCAAAAACTAGAAACAACAGTTCTCTTTTGAATGTTTAGGCTTTTGGAGAGGCAGCTCTTTATTGCATTTGCCTTCCGGTAGTAGTGCCTGTAACTTCAACAGTTAACTGCGACTACTCCTAAATTTAATTTTTTGAGACATCTACCTCGTCCATTTCCAAGTGGGGGCGGGGGGAATGATTCAAGTTATTTCTATTGCAGTTTCTACCTAGGTGTGCAGAAATTTATATTAAAATTGTTTGGATGCATCCAGGAAGATTGCTTTCTACTATTTAACATTCAGTTGCGTGGTCCATCTAGTTTGTGTTCTTAAAAGGAAGATTGACCTGTGCAGAGAAGATGCCAGTTAATATCTTTCATCCATTTTTAGGGTAAATTTCTACTTAGAATTGTCTGTGTTGTAATTCGAAGCATTTTTAGGTTATGTGAAATTTAATGAGTGGAGTTAGTCCTTAATTCAAGAGAATTGACAGTAAATACACTAACAATCAAATAAACATGGAGGTTGAAGTATCTTACTGTTGTTTAGGATTGAAGTATAGTGGGAAAATATGAATAACTTTCATTTTATGCCTAGCAGAAATAATGTGGCTGTTTTGACTTTGAAGTGATGGGGAAAGAACAACTTTCACATGGCTCCAGCTAATGTAAATTTTCAGAAAGGACACTTTTTTTTAAGTGCTCAAATCCATAATTTTTTTAATGCTTAATTTTGTTGGGTCAGCACAAAATGCACGTAAAGTCTATGTCGTAATGATGCTTATATTTATCTGTGACCCTAAACCTGTTAGAATGTACAGGGTTGAAAATTGTTAAGTGGTCAGTTTGCTTTGTATGAAAAAAAAAATCTCATCTTGTGTGAAGGACTAATTTGCCTCATACTTAATACCATTTTCCTGAAAAACAAAAGATTTTTTTAAATCTTAAAAAAAACATTTATTTGTCAGAGAGCGAGCGAGCACAAGCGGGGGTAGTGGCAGGCGGAGAGAGGAGCAGACTCCAGGCTGAGCAGATTCAGGGACCTGATCCCAGGACCTTGGGATCATGACCTGAGCCACTTAACCTACTGAGCCACCCAGGCGTCCTAAAACAAAATATTTTTAAATTTTAAGGTTTGTATTTGAAATTGGATATTTATGGGTTGGGTCTGGGTCCCTAGAGAGTTCTGGCTTTAATAGGTGTCAAAACTGTTTTTAGATATGATCCCTGCATTTTCATATTTTATCAGTGTTTATGCCGATAATTGCAGTTTCTCAAGTAATATTTAAGAATATCCTTGTAAGGTTTTGGAACCATAGCTTAAGAATTAGATTTGCATTTTTTGGTAATATTAAAAGTTAATATATATTTGATTAATTTGAAGATATTTCAAAGGGTTTTTTGTACATAAAAAATTTACAGTTTTTCAAAGCATCTTTGTTGAATGAGTAAAAACATTCTCATTTAATCCTCGTATTTAGGCTGTAATATTGGTGGTATTGTTCTCACTTTATATATGAAGAATCTGAGGCTAGGAGAAGCTATGTAACTAGCAAAAAGGCCACATAATTAATAGGTGAAAGAGCTTACTCAAACCCAGGTCTTGTGGCACAAATTAGATGCTTTACTACTGCCACCATGTGTCTCAAGGTTTAACTTTGAAGCCTTTCCTATGTTGACAGATTCCTATCTGTTTTGATCAGGAGCTATGCTTTGTAATACTGTACTTGCCTTTAGCCCTAATACCTTTCTATTAACATTATACACTGCCAGATATTCACTTATAAGTTTGAGAAAGTATTTATTCATGTGAATTACAAATGAAACATTTATTTTTGCTTTTAGCAAATTTAAATGCTGTTGATCTAGAAATTCATACCATTTACATAGGACAGATTTATGGTATTGCTGTAATGGTTTCATGGTTTTAATTTGCTGTGTAAACAGTTACTAAATTGTGCCTTTGAAATACTTCATGGAAATTTAAAAATGACTTTAGTAACATTCAGGGATGTTCAAGTTGGGCCAGCTAACACTTGAAATTCTTCATTTATAATTTTTTAAAGCCATAAACCGTTTAGAATACGGCACCATTTTTTGTCTCTAGATCTTGGGGTTCTACCCTTGGATATATATTGAGAGTGGTTGGCACTCAACAAAGTGAAGAATACACTGATAAATGATCCTGTTTGGTGGATACCTCGGAGCAAGATGTTCTTTGGCAGGGTATACTGACCTGGTTTAGCTTTGGCCCTGTCAACGCTCAGGAGTTCAGGTATTCTTTGGGGTTAGATTCAAATGGATTTAAATTCTCACATTGGCCTGCATCAGAACAGCCATAGTGGATTTCAAAATCAGCCCGTTTTTGTAGGACACTTTTGAAGACCTCCTTCTCTTGTTTAATCCTGGAGTCTAGCTGGATTTAGACTAGCCTTGGAGGTTGTTACGCCCTAATTGATTTTGTCTGGAATAATACAAAGGAATTTTTCTTATTCCAAAGTTTCTTAAATAGATTCTGTATATTTTTAAGTGAGCAGTTTACTAATCCTAAATAATGTTTCCCTACATCCTCAAGACAGTTAACTTTAGTATATTTATTTATAGCCATTATTGTTCAGACTTGTGCCTGTTCACTTCTTATATAATATTCTTGTTTACCCTTTATGTAATATTAGACACTTCTTTTTTTTTTAAATATTAGACGCTTCTTATTAGTTCACAATGTTTTCCTAATCAGTTAAGGTTTGGGGAAAGAATTCTAGTAAAAAAGTTGAGTTGACCTTTCGTGACAGTTGAGCTGACTGAAATTGTGACCTGCTGTAGAGGAATAAACATTTTAAGGTTCATTTATGTTTTTCTTTGAGATTACTAACAAATATATGTCATATGTCAGCAATATTTTGATGTTAAGCATTTTAGCACTGACATCATTACTCAGATCACTAATTATTACTGTGCATATATGGTAATAATTTACCTCGTAATGCATCTAAAAATCTCCAGGATCTAAATAGCATTTGAACATGGTAGCAATGTTTTTGAAGAAGAGTTCTAAAGGGGTCATTATGTGTATATATATATACACACACACACATATAATATATATATTTATTATTATATATCTTAACATAAACAATTTTTAATTAAGGTTCAGGTCATTTAACATAAAACTAGTAATTTTAAAGTAAGCAGTTCAGTAGCAGTATATTCGCAATATTGTGCAACCACCGCTGTCTAATTTCAAATGCTTTTATCACCCACAAAGGAAACTCTGTAGCCATTAACCTGTTACTCCCCATTTCCCCCTCCCCCTGGTCCCTAGCAACCACCCTTCTACTTTCTGTCTCTGTGGATTTAACATAAACGTATATTGAGTCAAGATTAAGGAGCGGTGCTATGTATAATTGAAATTGCAGAAAAAAACTTTGGGATATGATTGTTAGGAATCAAAAACCACCTCATTCTTTGCATGCTTTTCTTGAGTACAGTAGGCAGACTGCCAGGGACTCTTAATGGAAGAAAAGTTGAAAGTCACAGCAATTTGCAGTTTTAATTTTGATCGTTCCAAAGGAGTCCTACTCAAACTCTCAGACTCATTTGTATTTCCTTATTGGGTTATGAGAATTAACTAAATTATGTTCTATACAAATATGAGCAACTGATACTTATTTAGTTTGCTCTCTACAACCTGTTTGCCTTTTGGTTTTTCTCCCCCCCCCCTTTTTCTTAATGTGTAGAAGAAACTTGGAATGTTAACAGACAAGGACTTATTTGAGATTATATTGAAAAATGATTGTTAGGTTGAAATTCTTTGATCTTTATGAATCTGACTTTATAATTATTTTACTCAGCTAATCTT